AAACCCGGGCCCCCTCGCCCCAAAAATTGTAATTGGGGGGGGGGGGGGGTGAGACTAGACCTTAATTTACTTAATTTATTTTTTGAAAATTAATTTGTATCAATCAGTTGTGGAAACATTGAGGACTTTGTATGAATTAAGCCACTCAGGTGGCTTAATTAATTCTTTCTGTATTGACATTTTCAGTCATAATGCTTCAAGTTAAAAAGGGTTATCTACATATTATTCTGATACTAAAAAGTATCTGTCATAATTTTTTGGCTAAATAGATAAAGTTGTGTTCACGACATCTTGATATGCAAGCTAACAAATGTCTCGAAAGTCTAATTCGTTTATCTACAGTATACAAGAAATTACGTCTATTTAACTGGTCCTAATGCGCAGCAATAAGTTAACAATTTGACTGCAAGTATATGAGATGGGATCAGCTTTCCAAGGGGCGCTCTGCTCTGATGAAGGCCACTTATAATCTTGGGTTGGCATATCAAGAGCAAAATCGTACTTAAAACACACACACACACACACACACACACACACACACACACACACACACACACACACACACACACACAAAAATGGACTAATAATCAATAAAATAGGTAAATTCATGTTTGTTGCAAACTGTTATCTTTTCTTCTAAATTCAATTTAAACAGTGTGTATATAGAACTGTCGGGTTGTTGTAGTTATAAGTTCAGAGGCGCAACTAGCAATAAACAAATCAATACAATAAAATAACAAATACGCCCAATGAAAACAAGAAAAAAATACACACGACTTAAAATGAGTGTGGCAAATTTTACTTTTTAACTTAGTTTTTTTTTGTTGTTGTTCTTTTTTTACTTTGCGAAATATTTCAAAAAACAACACCGCGGGGACAGATGAAACACAACAACCCCATGAGAAATGGCATGCGGAGAATGTTATCTGCTCTCTCTCTCTCTCTCTCTCTCTCTCTCTCTCTCTCTCTCTCCTGTGTTGGAGTTTTAAAGATGGGCTGGTACTTGCTGTGATGTCACCCCACTCTTGTGAGAACATTCATTCCACCCGCAGCGTGGCTCGCCCGCTCCTCTCCAAAGCGAAACAGAAGCAGCCAGCGTTACGCAGGGCAATGTGACAACAAGGGAGCGACTTTGTTCACATGTTTTCTTTACGTTCGGGATCGGGTGGGAGTGCTGGAACTGTGTTCACGAACTTTCATGCAAACCATGCCATTTCAGGAAATCGGTGGTGTTTGCAGCTTTGGAGTCTTCTGTATGATGCGCTGCGTTTGCTCTGATCAGGAGCGTTGCGCACAGTGAAGGACCGATCTGTAGCGACGCGGCACAGTTCTTTTAAGAGGGAGGAAATATATATATATATATATAAAAAATGATCCGAAAGAACAGATTTCAGCCAGAATGGATTTGATGGATTTAAATGTGTTGCTGGAAAACGTTTCCAGGGATGGCAACACCACCGACGCGCCGCTCTCACTGCCGTACCCGGAGGCAGCCACTGCACTCATCATACTTGTAGTTATTGTTATGATTTCTGTGACTATTGTAGGCAATGTGTTAGTTATTGTTGCGGTTTTGACCAGCAGGGCACTCCGTGCGCCACAGAACCTTTTTCTGGTCTCCCTGGCGTCGGCGGACATCCTGGTTGCCACGCTAGTCATCCCGTTCTCCTTAGTCAATGAGGTGATGGGTTACTGGTTCTTTGGAAGTACTTGGTGCGCCTTCTACCTGGCTTTGGACGTGTTGTTTTGCACCTCATCCATCGTGCACCTGTGCGCCATCAGTCTGGACCGCTACTGGTCAGTGACGAAGGCTGTGAGCTACAACCTGAAGCGAACGCCGAAGCGCATCAAGTCCATGATCACTGTGGTGTGGGTGATATCTACCATCATCTCCTTCCCCCCTCTTCTCATGACCAAGCACGACGAGAGGAAGTGCGAGCTGAACGATGAGACCTGGTACATCCTCTCTTCCTGCCTGGTGTCCTTCTTCGCGCCGGGTCTCATCATGATTCTGGTTTACTGTAAGATCTACAAAGTGGCCAAGCAGCGCTCGTCCACCGTGTTTGTGGCCAAGAACGGCCTGGAGAGAGAACCTTCCCAGTCGGAGACCTGCTTCGTCAGGAAGGACCGGTTCGAGGTGGAGAGCCCCAGCAGCCTGAGCTCCGGCAGCCATCAGCAGAGGCAAGGGGAGTTGGACGACATCGACCTGGAAGAGAGCTGTTACTCCTCGGACACCAAGCCCCGCCATCACCGCTTCACCAAGCGCAGGAAGGTGGAGGGGTCGGAATGCTGCCCGCCGCAGAGCTGCCGCCTCTCGTGGGCTTCGGCCCGGGCGTCACAGCCATACCCGGAGCAGAAGAACCCCGCCGAGCGACTGCAGCTGGCCGCGGCCAACAAGACCAAAGTGGCCCAGATGCGGGAGAAGCGTTTTACCTTCGTGCTGGCGGTGGTGATGGGGGTGTTCGTGCTCTGCTGGTTCCCCTTTTTCTTCACCTACAGCCTCCACGCGATCTGCAGAAACAGCTGCACCATCCCTGACGCGCTTTTCAAACTTTTCTTTTGGATTGGCTACTGCAACAGCTCGGTGAACCCCATTATTTACACTATTTTTAATAGGGACTTCAGAAAAGCCTTCAAGAAAATCATATGCAGAACTTCAAAGCGCACATGAAAGGGGGAGGGGGGTATTATTTATATTTTTGCCTCATTCACTCATTAGTGAAGAGATTTGGAAATGTGTAGAGATGCACCAATCAGGGTTTTTTTTTTCCAGGCCGATGCCAATTTCTGATTTCCTTTGAGATCCAACATGTCAGTTCCATTTTCCCCCCCTAAGAATAATAACGCATTAAATAATAAAATATATGTATGGAGATTCATCGACTGGACCTTTTCTGGCTAACATTGATTTCCCGTTGTCTTTGAAGTTCTCCTTCCACTTCAGTCAGGCTTTTCCTGGAATTTCAGATTTTATTTGGGATCTGACCTGCTGGTTCCAGTTTTGTACCAATTCTGTTTTTCCACAATTTCTTAAAGAGGGAGCTCATTTACTAATTAAAATATAAGCGAAATGACATTTATGTAAATTTTTTTCTTTCCAAAATGTTATATCAAAGTTCCTGATGTTATGGCTCGTGGTTTATATGTTAAAACTAATGTTAGACCTTGATTTTGATATGTTTAATGGAGAGAAAAACACATCCAAAATTTCATCATTTGATCAGCGGATAAACAATTCAACTTTCATGACCAATATCAACGTCCACTCACCTGCCAATGACATATTTTACCAAATCTGATTTATTTTTCTGAAGGAAGTAGTTCAAGCTCTAAGAAAGACCTGGAGCTCTCTCACTCATGAGACATGGAAATGCTACTAATACACATTTATATAGATTTTTTTAAAGGTCTAACTTACTGTCTTGAGTTACTAGTTTTGTCTTTCAACTTCCCCCCCCCCACATAAAATAATAAATATGTAGTAAATTCGGTAAAATAGATATTAGTTTGGAATCCAACGGAAGGAATTACAAACTTATTCCTATTTATGCTTTAAAGCATATGTCCCTTGTATGTCTTAGATATTTTTACACTTGAAAAAAAGAGCATGGAAGTACATTTTGTTGGTTGTTGTATTTGTAGATCGAAGGTGGTGAACACTTCTGGTTCTGGTGCATTTAAAGGAAAAGAAAAGATAATTTTCAGTATTTCAGATTCTGATCACCAATTAGAGCCTATTAAGGAAAAATTAGCCTATTGATTGGTGCATCTCTAAAAATGTGTTACTGTGACTCATTAGCCCAGTGTACTGCTGCCTCATCGTTTTACTGTAATTATACTGAAACAACAAAAAAAAACCACAATTCCTTGTATTTACTGTCTATGAATAAAATTTATTTGGTGGAGCATATGTGATATTAGCTAAAAGCTACTAATCTCATATTTATGCCATTCTTTCTGAGGTATGAGAAATCTTAGGTTGCATAAGAACACCTCCTTATTTCACCAAGTGGGTTGGAACAGCAGAACATATTTAGAGTAAAAAATGTGAATCCACTGTTATGAATTCCGATGCAGACTGTGGGTTCAGAGCGAGCGTCCTGTGTTTTCATAAACACAAGAATAATCTTCGCCATCTTTTGCACACAAGCCTGGCAGCTGGCAGGCAAGCTTAGATGTATGTGTCTGGAGGATGATAGGACGGCGTAAAAGGCAGCATTTAAACTTCCCCATGTTGAGGCTAATTCATAAAGGTGCATCTCTTTGTTTGTCTCCGTGAGCCACCTCAGCCAAGTATGCACAGGAAATAGTCAAACTTATGTAAGAGTCTTTTCTCACCCTCTCACCACGCCGTCACACTGCCTCACGCTTGAACAATGGCCAGATGATATGAGGCTTGCAAGAGCAAAAATAAAATGGAGACATTTTCACATTTTGGTGTCCTCGCAGCAGCTTAATATTTGGCCGGTGAATATTTAAACGGACCGGGGACTCGTCTCTCCCGTAAAAACCTGCTCTCGCAGTCGTGACGGGTGGTCGTTTCTTTTACTCTGGGGTAGAACATCTATATGTTTTTTTTCTTTTTTTAACAGCTTAGATGTTATTGCTTTTCTGATAAACACACACACAGGCACACCTACTTCCTGTTTCCCATCATATACCATCTTTAGATAAAAAAGCAGGCAAAGAAATGACATGAAAAAATTACTCACATAATCTACATTTTCATCAATGTCAAATGACTAATGTTGACATGACGAAGTTATGTCAACATTATTTTTTTAAAAACTGTGGTCAGTCTCATATATCACTGGCCTCTTGAGTAAAGGCCTGGGAAAGTACTACTTAGTGAGAGGAAGACTGGCCACTTCCATATCTCCACCATTGTCTACACGGTGGTGCTGAGGAAAAATACACTATTTATATCCTACTAGGAATGTCTTCAAAGCACTCCTACAGCTCAATGGCACCTCGCCAAAGACAGTCACTCCGTCTTAGGGGTGTCATGCCTGCGAGGTTATTTTCTTCTCTTTTTTTTCTTTTTTTTTCGGGTAGCATGCTCATATTCATGAGTTTTTTTAAAATAAAATATCAAGGAAAGAAGGAGTGAAGGTGGATGCACATTAGATATTCTTTTACTTTTGAACAAAGATTAAAAAGTATGAGGCCTCTTTGGCTGCTTTGAGGAAGGAAACCTAATCTCTGAGGGGTTCGCAAACTCTTGAAACAAATGAAATGTCGAGGCAGAGCCACACTCAGAAGATGGGAGTTAAATTAGAGCCTCCAGGTTCCTCCAGTGGAAGAAAGGCAGTGTTTAATTGCCTGTAACTTATTGGGAACGCTATTGTACGCGTGCTGTCACCTAATTTCTCCAGAGGATGCAGTTATCAATTTGTGTTTCATTAACCAAGGTGGAAAATGTTTACATGAACGCTCATTTGTAATTTTTTCACTAATACCCTGATTAGCATCCGCCATGACGGGCAGTTCCCATGTTGGATCTCACATCCCATTTCGATTGTCTTTTTAATCAGACGCTCCAGTGCAGCAGGAACAGGTTTTCGTCTCCTCAGACGAAAACCTGTTTTTTATTTTTTTTTATCTGGAACCCACGCATGTTGTTTTATTTAGCACAGATTTTATTGCAGAGCAAAGTTGTAAAATTTTGTCTTTCCAGGAATGGTTTTCACAGCAGTGGCAGCTGTTCAGATGTGTTTTCCTGTGCGAGTGTGAGTCTTCATGTTGTACATGCATGTAAGCCGCTCAGTCCAGCCTCACCTATTGGCCAGCCAGTGTAAGTTCTCGACTTCTTGAAACACACAGGACACCAGCGGTCAGATGGGAACACAAGAAGAATCATTTCTCAAGTCCAGTTACTTTATGAGAACCTTATATACAGATTTTATGTTGCAAGGAAATTTCAATGAATCAGATGTTCATTGAAGTGGAAATCATGCATTCCTGCCTCTGTGTTTCGTCTGATGTTTTCCCCAATACTTGTAAGGTATCGTCCCTGAAAATACATTAAAATCAGCAAAATTAGACTGTGACATTACTAAAATTATGGTACCCCCTCATATATATTTTCTGCTTTTGTTGATTTTTTAAAAAAATCATTCTTAAGTGTTTCTCACCAATGAACCAATTATAATATAAATCTATCACCTACAAAGTAATTTAACAAACTGTTTTTGTTTCTTTTTTTTGTGTGTGTGTTTTTTTTAGGAGAGAAAAAGTCAGCCAGTCAAAAAGGAACCACACTCTATTAAAATCATGAATTTCTTGTGATTAAACTAATTTTTTTGGAAAGCTGAGTTCAGGTACACACTGATAATATGGTGTAAGTTTGACCTGTAGAACCAAGAAACTATAATAGAACCTGCCACCAGATGAAACAAGATAAAATACTGAAAAAGCAACACGTTTGGCCTCTTCTAGGAACTTGTAAAAGCAGAAGAGAAACGATGTCATGGACATCTGTTTGCCTCATTGGCCTCAGTTAAGGTCAATGTTCATGATTCAAAAATAGGAAGGACAATGGATAAAAATGGTGTCCATGGGAGAGTTGTGCGGTGAAATCCACCATTATCAACAGAAAAACAAACAAAAGCTCAGTGATTCCAAGATTTTTTGAAAACATTTTGCGAACCAATGTCAAAAACAAAAATCCCGTTTGACTTGGCATTAAAACAACAAGACATTTTAGAAAGAAAACATCACAACATCAGTCAAAGATGGAGGTGGTGACGTGATGATTTATGGTGATTTACGCCAGGGGTCTTTAAGTCCAGGTCTCAAGAGCCATGCACTGTCCTACAACTGTCTCCCTGGTCCAACATAGCAGTATAATGTTTTAGAGTGGCCTAGTCAAAGTATGGATTTAAATTTGACTGGGAAGCTTTAGCATCAACTTAAAAATAAATCTGTCAAAATGACAGAATTAAAACAATTCAGCGATTCCTGTTTATCTTGATTAATAAAGTCCTCATTTCAAAACTGGTTATCTTTGTAACATTTTTTAAAAATACTTTAATAGTCTAATTCATGCAATCGCCACAGAGGTTTCGATTTATTTCAATTGAATCATATAGAGTTAGTCTTTTGTTTTATAAGTCTGCAGCGATGTATAACAGAAACACCTTCAAATTTGTTACTGGTGCTAATATCTAAGTCAAATCAGACTGAAACAGTGCCTGTGCAAAAAGTAAAAAGGGTTGGTAAAACTCAGGAGCTGAATCAGATAAAATGTTGACGAAGCTGAAGATGACGAGAAGAAGATCTGCCACTTCGCAGAAATCTAGCACATGAAAGCAAAAAAAAAAAAAAAACATTTGATATGGATATTCATTTACAGAACTTTTTCAGAGTAAGAGACATTTTATTTTTTTTATTTGCTTTTGCTGTCCTGTACGATTATCAAAATGTGTGTTGTTTGTGTATAAAGTTAAAATTTAAACTATACAGTTTACAGGTAGAACCAACGCATCAAGTGCAACTAGTTGAAGATGAGAGAGGAGAACACAGAGAGAGCAGACTGAAAAATCCCAGAGGCTATTATAGCAAATAAAAAAATGGTTTTTCAGATAAATGCTCCAAAAATTGTATTTATACACATTAATTTGCTGTTGCTGGGGCTTTCTTAGTTTTCACTCTATTCTCTCACTGTATCTATCTACCAACTATATATATATTTTTATTGGAGGTAAGAAAAAAGTTTGATAGATGCTGAGGAGGACTTGAAGCACTTTTGTGTCCTTCGACCTCCCAAACCCTCACTTGAAGGCTCAGTAAGAGCAGCAGGGCCGACTGCTAAGAGCTTAAATGATTGCCAGAGTGCGATGATGAACTAGAGCTTTGGTAAGCTATAGGAGAAGAGAAGTAGAGAGGTATAGAGGTTTAGGGTCAGCCATGTTAGCGAAGCCTATTTGCAGTCAGAGCAGTCAGAAAAGAGACGGGTATAAATGTTTCCAGAGAGGCGCAGTGCAGAAGAGACAGATGTAATGATGAAAGAAGTGGTTTCAGCTTCTTGTCGTCTCCTCCATTACTTTGTCATCCACTGCAGCATCTGTGGGTAATTGCTTTTTTTCTGTTGTCTCCAACAAGATAAGGGCTGACAGCGAAACAAGGCCAAAACTGCCGTTTATCCTTCTCCTGGAGAAGGAGAGGCGCTTTGTCATTAGTGTAAATCAGCCTGTGTCACGCTGAGGTGGGACTGGAACTGGCTGTCTTCAGGCTGGTCCGAGACACTCTGCAACACTGTAAGAAACGACCTCATGTGGTAGAAGGAATCAGGAAAGTGCAGCGTTAGGTTTGAAATGACAGTCAGATTGGGCAAAATCTGCAGGATGGTATCAATTTATGTACAGAGAAACAGTGAACTCATCACTGACATCTTTTAATCAGTTCCTGAAACTGGATGGATGGATGGATGGATGGATGGATGGATGGATGGATGGATGGATGGATGGATGGATGGATGGATGGATGGATGGATGGATGGATGGATGGAATAGATTTACCATGTACACTCAATGTAATCTATGTGACCTTAAACATTGTTGCCATTGGGTCCAGCAAGTCAAAACAAAATTCAGAAATATGTTAAATATGATCCATTTGGTAGAAAATACAACTCCCATATTGTTCATGAAAGTAAAGATGGGTCTCGTTTCTTTAAATAAACAAACAGAAAAGAACTCTGACATTTATTATCTCTGAACTTTTGGTTTCTGAAAAAGTGAAGTGAGGATATTGGATTTATGAAACAGGAAAAAAAAATCCACAACTAAAATATTCATGAAGTGAATTAAGTAAATTCTCTCATTGTTTATTCCTCACTGAGCCTCATTATTTAAAGTGCAAATTCAAATATGTTTGGACCCTACCTGCTCACTTATCAGCTTCAGAATGGCATTAATAAAAATCCAATAAGCAGAATGCCTGTTTCTCTTTCCGAGAATCGTATCGTGTTTGTGAATACCGTGTGCAGAAACAGCAGATTATGGACAGGCGCTTCTCACTCTGAAGGAATTTAGACCATCTAGATCTTTTACTAATGAAACGACTGCAGTTTCAAATGAAGCCTTCAAGTCGCCAGGAGCTTCGTTTGCTCTTAAAGCTTCCAAGTGATGATCAAACTGTTATTTCACCAAAAGTTAAATAAATGGCTGTGATTGGCAAACAAGCATGAGTTTAAGTAATATGTTTTTATGTAAATAATCAACTCGCGGATAGAACATGCTACTGACTGTGAGGGTGCGCTGTTTACTTCACAAAGGCATATTCACAGACAACTGGATGGAAGTAAACACGTCAACAAAAGGTGCACAAGTGAACAGATTTGAGATGCTTGTCCAGCAAAATCTATTCAAGAATTTAATGGAAGTTCAAAATTAGAGGACCGACTCCTACACAAGTGTCTTTTCCTTTGCTACGGACAAAAGAAGGGGATTGAAATGGCTAAAATCAAGCTATTTAGAGTATCTGAACATTCTAATGGAAAGTTTTCTGGTAGGAAATTGCATGACACAAAAAAAAGTGAATAAGTAGAGAAATAAGCGCAGCTTTTTTTGTTTCACTGGTCTTAAGTTACAGAGTGTTTCAATCTTCTGGGAAAAGAAACCTTCGGTTCTCACAAACGTCAAGCCACAATCACTAAAATCTGCAGAAGCAGACACCAGAAATACTTTATTCTGCTAATTTGCGGAAGCAGTTCTTGTTTTGGCTTTTATGAGAATAAGACTTCAGCACAGTCGACTAGGCTGTGCTTAAAAGTTGTAGTCATGAAGTAGTCTAAAGGGTAAAAAACAGCTGAGAACTGTGTCCATTTCTATCTCGATGAAAAAAACCTAGATGGCTGCAGAAGCACAAAAGAGGAACTATGGGGGATGTGGCTCTTGAACGACAAGAACGCAAACTGCATGACATCATGTCTACGGGGCAAAAGGGGGGGATTTGAGATAATCTGCCCAAACAGATAGCCAGTAAAGTCAGTCTGGCAATAAGGAAACACATCTGTATGGCAAAAAATCCCTATAAAAAGGAGTGAGGAAGGAGGAAGTATGAATTGTGTCCTGACAGCAGATCAAGACAAACAAAGAACTCTGCAGACGGAGAAGACGACCATGGCCCACAGATAAGCTGCAGACTCTACCTTGCAAAAGGATTCAACCCTTAACCCTCAAGACTACAGTTCCAGACTGGGCATCTCTCATAAGCTGAGGCTTGAAATGAACACACTCATTTGATTAAACACTTTGTCGATCATGGGTGGGACTCTGTGAAGGCTGTGGTGTTAGAGAGTAATCCCAGTCGGATCATGAGTTAGAGGAAAAAAAGCTGTGAAGGATTGGATTAAGAGGCTCGGTAAGGTTTGGGTTAAATGAAGGGTAATGTTTGGAAGTCCACAGTGGGGTTCTTACTTCATTAATCTTAGTATGAAAGTCCTTCTGTCACCCAAAACAGGATGCACTTCTCAGACTCTAAAGGCCCCTGTCAGCTTGTAAATTGTTAAAGTTTATATGGCTGATTGACTATTAAAATTACACATGTGTAAAAAGTAAAGTGGGCAATCAGAGTGAAAATATGTACTCTCGAATGTATAACTATAATAACACTCAGACCTGGACAATCTGTCTTCATAACCTTTGCATACACTAAAGATATTATGATTAAGCATACAGAAAATGCGTCCTGTCAGACCGATTTTTTTCTGCATATTTCTCCCAACTAGAGAAGACATTTCACTTATTTATTTTTCCCATCCCTTGTGTTGAAGTAGAAAACATAGTGCATACTTTTGGATCACATTGTCTATTTTTTTTCAATACTTATTCTTGTAATCATCTGTAAACACATACGTCTGTTTTCACCTTCGGCACTTTCCACCGTGTTTATCCATTTCCAGCACTGACGCATATACCAATAAAGGGCATCTGTGGCCTGTGATCTATGGGGACTTTTATATTTTAAAACAGGTAATAGACTGATTTTCCTGGTACACCATTACGGTATTATGCTGGACAGGAGGGGCATGATATGACAT